CCATTATCAGCATATTGAAATAGCATCTAGTATTTATTTGTTTCAATCCATATACTGTATAATCTATATTTTGCATCTCTATTACTATTAAGAAATTTAATTAATTATTTTCTATATACTGTATAATCTATATTTTGCATCCCTATTACTATTTAAAAATTTAATTAATTATTTTTAACCATTGAACATCAAGTGAAATATGCATTTAACATATCATAATGATACAATCATACAGTTAATCAGTAAATTTATTATTTTATATAAAAGAAATTTAGCACTGATTTTAACATCATTACTCTCTTTCAAAGTTTCTTTCTTTATCTTATATTTACATAGAAGTGTTATACTTTTTTTTTTAATTTAAACTTAGATTTTACTAAATTTTATATATTTAATCCTTACTTCCTATTTAGTAAATTACGAATTCGTAGTTTGCCAAATCTAATATTTTTTTATTATTATTTTTTTTAGCTCTTATTTTTCTCTCTTTACTTTATATTTTCTGCTTTCTATATTTTATTAATTTGCTAAATATTAAAAATATTAAGTATTTTCATATATTATAATAGCAAAAACTGGTTCCGGTACTATTATATCAAATATAGTAATACCAGTAAATTGCGAGTTAGCATAGCGAGTCAGTCACTCTACAAACTAGAACATCATATAACTATAGATGAAAGGGCAGTTATATTTGGGCAAGGGTGAATATAGCTATAGATCTGTTTTCTTTACCTGTATCAAGAAACTTGGGCTTCAAACCAGTCAAAAATAACTATTCTTAGTATATTAGAAGAACTGGACAAAACAATTACTACAACTATTCTCAGTATGTTGGAAGAACCAGACAAAACAATTACTACAACTATTCTCAGTATGTTGGAAGAACCGGACAAAACAATTACTACAACTATTCTCAGTATGTTGAAAGAACTAGACAAAACAATTACTACAACTATCCTCAGTACATTGGAAGAACCAGACAAAACAATTACTACAACTATCCTCAGTATGTTGAAAGAATCAAACAAAACAATTACTACAACTATCCTTAGTACGTTGAAAAAATTGGAAAACAACAACCACAGTAGTCCTCAATATATTAAGAATTAGCTAAACAGAGTAATAGTACACTTTATCATTATTATATGAACAAGAGAACAAGAATAATAATTTATATTATTTATGTTCTTAAGCAGTAGATCAGGATGTATTTAAGTAATTAATAGAAGATAGATTTATTTGTATCATGAAGGATGTCTTCCTCAAGAGTGAAAAACCTTTATTAAATATTTTCTTTTACTTTGAATATATTATACAGCTAATATCCCAATGAATATAAAAAACCTATTTTAGATAAAGATCTGCATATCAACTATCTATTTAAATACTATCACTATTAAATCTTTAATACTATATATATATACCAAATAATTAGTCTTAAAGCTCTAGATTACGTATTATTAGAAAATACTTAAATTAG